CTCTATATGGATGGTTTCTCTGTGCATTTTGTACTCTCTGCTTGGATACGACTACCTGGACATCTGTGTGATTTTGCAACTTGGTTTTCTGTATATCGTTCACACTCATATTCCTTGCAGGCCGTTTCAATGGCATTGAATTTTTCAACGCGGAACCTGCGTTGAATCAATTTTCGGACACACAGCCAGTAGGGCCGACCAGTCGGCGGTCTGCCGACCAGTCAGAAAACAGCCATCCAAATGATTTCTTTCAGATCTGAGTTGGAAGCTGTACTGTGCTTGCTGAGTACAGCCCAAATCCACTGAGAGACTTTTAGGGGATGGGGGGGTGTATGGGGTATAGGTGGACATAGGGGGGTATAGGGGTGGTATAGGGGGTATTGGGGGGTTGTTTGAGGGTGTAGGGGGGCGGTTTGGGGGTGTATGGGGGTGTCGCTGTGGTTATTAGGGGTTCTGGACCCTTTTTTTTTTCTTTTTTTTTTTTTTGGGGGTGCCGACGGCCCTCGACCGGTAGGTGCTGAGCAGCTAACCAGTCGTCGGGTCGGCAGCTGACCATTCATGGATCTCCGACGGTCGGGGTGTGCAGCACTTCCTGTAGGCTAAATTTGTTCAAATAACTTTCGGTGCTCTTTTCACCTCTGAGCTCGATGTTGGCAATCGGTTTACACGTTCCTCTGAATGCGTTGCGCTTTCATATGAAGCTTGTTTACCCCTTCCAACCTCCCTGCCCCCCCACCCCCTCCTCATGCAAAGATAACGGATGGAAATGGAGGAAGGTACCTGTTTCAAGTGTGGCTTGCATGTTACAAACACACCCAAACTGCATGGTTTAGCCCTTCTGGCTAACCCTTTCATGAGGCTTTCTTCCCTTGGTAGCTTCCAAAAGCTTCGGGCATCATAGGCACACGCTTGTGTTTGCGTCTATCTCTGTATGCACTTACATGATGGCAGTGGGTGGTTGGGGGGGAGAGTGAGAAGTGTTACTGTTGTCTTTTTGAAGTGCATGAGCTGCAGGCTACTGGAGGATTGAGAGTACTCCGTGCCTTGCTGTAGCCCTCAGGGCCATTCCTGACCGGCTGGAAAAGAAATTTGCCAGGTCGTCAAAATGATATGATCGTTCTGTGCTGTTGTCGCTTGTTATTGGATAAGGAAGAGTGCCAGCAGAGCAGAGCCACTGTAAGGCGAGCGTGCATCTTCGGCAATTGTGAATAGTACAGAGCTGTTTGGGAGTTTGGAGATGATCATGAGCGTTGTCAAGCAGCTTGTTGACAAGTGTTTCTGCCTTGACGTTTCTACGCTTCTCTCTTCTGTGCCGCATCGTGAAATTGTTTTGCCCGCCTTCTTGCAGATTAGCAGTGCAGGAGGAAAAGTTCCATCGCCTACACAGGCGTTGTACAGCGCGTCAAAGTTTGCGGTGCAGGGGTATTTCCGTTCTCTTGATTATGAGGTGATTTTCTTTTCAGAGCCCGGTGAAAATTCGATATGGCAACAGAGGCCCTTGCTACACAGCAATTTCTGCACATGGCTAACTCACATATGGTCTGCATTTTATATTTGTGCTAAATTAGCTTATCCGTTGTCATTACTAAACAAGTGCATGGCACCCAGCCCATGTGGCGGAATGGTACACCCATATAACTGTTCATTAACAGACATGAGTTTGAATTCTGATTGAAAAAATGAACCTCTCTGAATTACCTGGGGAAGGGCAGTTCAATCATGATACCTCAAGGTCATCACCCTTTTAAGATAACAACAATACAAAACAACTCAACATGCATTGGGAATTTCGCTCTGCAGGTTCATTTCTGAGCTGTTGTCAATCTCTCTGGTTCTTGGCACTTGTTGCCCCCCAGTCCTGTGGGAACCGCCTGGCTGCGGATTTGTGTCTATCTGCAGTAGAGGAGCGGGCGTCGCCTACCCCCTCTGTCTCCGAACGAGTTTTTCCATGCTCTCTTCTTCCCTCCCCTAGTTAATTGCTTTAAACATCTACCGGTGGAGTTACCTCATGGCATCCCCTGTGTCTCTGAATGGTGCTTCTTCCACGTGCGTTACTTCTTTCATGTGCGTTTCTTCTTTCCTCTAGCTGATTGCTTCAGTCATCCAGCGGTGGATTGCGTCATTTCAATCCCCTGTGCCTCGCAACGGCGCTTCCATGCGCTTTTCTTGTTTTTCCGTTGGTTGATTGCTTTAGCGATCTAGTTTCCTCCAACATTTGCAATCATGTCACCTCATGAGGTCTGTGTCTACCACAGCAACTTCCTGATTCACTTTTCCTGGTTTGCTTTTTTTTCTGTCAGCATCCGACGGTGTACGTGTTGCATTCTTTTTTTCCTTTTCTTTTTTATTTTAATCCGTTTTGCATTCTAAATTCATAAAATTCACAAACTTTGCATTCCAGACACTCCGAACACAGGCTGGTGACAGGTATGTCGGAAATGAAATGGTGAATGCAGTCCTGAAGGTTCTGAGAATGTTTCCGCAACTTTCCGGTTTATTATTTGTTTGTTTCCCTCTTGTTGCATGGCAGTTCCAAAAGGAGGGTGTTGGAGCAACCGTCGTCTGCCCAGGGCCTGTGAAGACATCAGATGTGAAGCCAACTAAGGAGGTGAGGTACCTGTGTGTGAGCCCAATAGTTCACAGAACTCCTTACTTTTTAAAAGTTTTTATTGATTTGTTTGCACCATTTCTCGATTTATGTGTGTCATCCTTGTGCAGGTGCCATGCTAATCTTCTCTGTATCGTGCCAGTTTTAACGGATGTCCCGAAGGGCATATAGAGGTGCCATGCTAATCTTCTCTGTATCGTTCCATTTTTAACGGATGTCCCGAAGGGCATATAGAGTCCCGTGCGAAAGTCACTGGTTAGGGTATTTGACATTTCCTCGTCGTTTTTTTTTTTGTTTTTGTCGAGGGTCAATGCCATCCACAGGGGTCACTTTCAAAAAAGTTTCAATTCTATTGTCTTCGGTTTACCTTTTGCATTGCCAAAAATCTTATATATTTGTTTTTAGAAGTAGGTTTGAGAGATGTTTTTTTCAGTGGGGAGTGTGGTGTAACTTCGGCTTACTGCCGGTAAGTCGTGTGGAATCTGTCGATGTATGACAGGGTGAAAGGTGGCCAGGTCCATGTGGGCAACATACAGGCAGCGGCCAACCTGCCCGTCGACCGCTCACAGTCTGCCTTTTCCTATTGTAAGATTCCGAGTCTTCTGACTGGTTTTTCTAATGTTTCTTTCCCGGGATACTCAGGTGTGAATGCCTGATGGTGAATTCGTTTGGAACTAGAAGCTTTTGATAAGTTTAGATTTGGAAAAGCTGTTCAACGAGGACTGGTTTTGGTGTGTCAGCTGGGATATTCCATCTGGAATGTGTCAGGTGTGCATTTGTTTGTATCTAGAAGCTGTCGATAAGCTCATATTTGGAAAGCTGTTCGACAATGACGTTGCTGTGTCGGGCGGAATATACTGGGGCCCCTGTTAATGGATTTGTCCTAGTAAGTTTGTAGTGATAAGGTTCTGTCCTCCTTGTTCCTGTTCATTTGCAGAAACGTATCTCAAAAGAGCGATGCGCGGAACTCATTGTGGCAGCTGCAGGCCACAAGTTGCCGGAAGCGTGGATATCTCTTTTTGTGAGTACAGTTCTCAGACTCGCTCCCATATCCGCACTCGTCCGCCCCAACCAACCAACCAACCAACCAACCAACAAATACCTACAGACACGTACACCCGCCCAATTGTCTTTGTGGGACATAATACCACAAAACACTTGTTTCCACATGCCACACAGCACAGGAAACAAAAACGAAAACGAAACGAGTGCATCTGCCCACGAAAGGTGACAATATAGTATATACCAGGGTAACCGGAGTTCGGAACGGGCCGAACCCGAACGCCCGAACGTACGGGACCCCTTGGGGATGSGTTCGGCCGTTCGGGCCGAACGCGGACCAAAAAAAAAAAAAAAAAAAAAAAAACATTTGCTTGAGCCAAATTCCGTACCAAATTTGAAATAAAAATAAAATACAGAAAATAAAACTAATAACGAAATAGTAATAAGAAAAATAAGAAAAAATGAAAAGAGAATTAAAATTAGTGAGTGAGCGAGCACGTGTTTGACACCGGCATCTTTGGCGATTTTTCATTTTTTCTTGGCACAGCCAAATGCCCTGAAAATTTACAGATGTGTACTTCACGTTATGCGAAACTCGTTAAACAAGTTTCAAAATATAATAATCTTTTTTAGGCCCCGCAATAAAGTGAAAACAAAAAGTGAAAAGTGAAAAAAAAAAAAAAAAGTAAGTGGGCGAGAGCACGTTTTGACTCCGCCATCTTTGGCGATTTTTAATTTTTGTTTGGCTAAGCAAAATGAATTCAAAATGTATAGGCATATACCTCACATCATAGAGAACTCACAAAAAAACTTGTTTTTAGGCCTCGAAATAGCCGAAAGCTGTCGGTTTCTGACCCCGAACGGGACTCCGAACGCCCGTACGTACGGAGGTCGGCCCAGGGACCTCCGTACGTACGGGCTGGTGACCCTGGTATATACAATATTATACGTTCGTTACTATTTATAGCAAGTGGATGAACCTGTTCATTTTCTGTGGGAAGGTGCATTCGTTTTGTTTTTCGTTTCCTGTGCCATGCGGTGCCACCCTAAGCCTGAACATTAATTCTATGGTTATTGGTGGTTTATGGGGAATTGAATGGATATTGTTAAAAAAAAAAAGAAAAAGGAATGGATATTCTGTTTACCACAAGCGGCAGGGCTAATCCTCTTTGATTGAAAAATAAATGGCAGTGGGCCAATCCTGCATGGGTCTCAGCCTTACACTTGGAAAGTTGAGGTTTGAACTCTCACCTCATTGTGCGAATGACCGCATCGTCTGGCTGGGTTGTACGAGCTATCGTCCGCCAGGGTTGTCCGAGCTGGATATGCCCTGGTCTAACCAGTCCGGCAAATCAGGGTAGGCCAGAATCGAGGCCCAGAGGTGCTGAACCGATCTGCGATGGGCATATGGCATGGTTGCACTTAGCCCAAGGACGCTGAATATGGTCGGAATGCGACAAGGAACCTTTGTCATGGCAATGCCCTCCAGTGAACCCCGCATGGATCCATTTCTGTCGCCTAATTATTCGTCCACTCGTCACGCACACATTCATGCTGCTACCCCAAAAATATTCTGTCCGTTTTTGTTCCGCGGCGTCCTCAATTGTTGTTTTACGTCGTGGCTGTGGTGGGCCATTGCCGGGATGCGAGCAGTCCAACGCACACCAAGCTGGTATTCAGGTGTGATCCCTGGAGGCCGTCAGAGACAGGGGTGGTTGAACAGAGTTTGGACCAAATGCGACTGCCGTTTATCAGCTGGGAAATAACTCCGATGATTCTCCTCGAGGCTTAATTGGAACGCAAATCCATTTTCTGCGGAGAAGGGAAAGCCGTGTCTAGCCGTGTTGCATTCTGCCATTTACGTCGTTAATCCCTGAGGTTTCAGATTGGCAATATCTTGTCTGAGCTTGCTCCCGTCTCGTCCCCTTCGATCGGAATCAGCTATTCAAAAATCTCTGTAATATTGGTGATGTCACTGTGTGCGTATATAAATTTACTGTTCCCCTGCCCTCCTATTTTATCCAAAGTCCCTTCTTTAATATGATAGGAGCTGAATTTGGCAATAATCCTACCTTCTGTCAGGGTGCAGCAATGATCCTTCTGTTGGGGTGTGACCATAATCTTTCTGTTAGGGTGTGTGGCAATGACCCTTCGTTTCTGTGAATGCCTAAGGAGTGTCAGTGCGATGGCATCTACCTTGATGTCCATTGGCTTATGGGGCATGTGGGCGTACCGCATGTGCTGCTGTGGTCTGCAGGCTGTCATCTTGTTAGATCATTCTCAATCTCTCAAAGTAGGAAATCACGGATGCATTTTTTTATCTTCTCTATGGTGGTTTGTTGTGCGAGTGTGGCATGAGACGTACCGTGAGCATGATGGCCATTCCAGCCCTTCATTCGTTCATGCTGGATGGTTTTCTCCTCATTGATTGGAACTGGAGGAGCTGTGGTGTGCTGGTTGCAGTCATATTATATTCCTCCATTTTTTTTTATTTTTATTTTTAAACAAGAATAGTTTTTTATATTGCGGGGAAGCGAGCCTGGACTCCCTCACATCAGGGTGCCGACCATCCAGGCTAGGCCGGGCACTCCAGCCGAGCCTAACGCCGCATTTTTGTTCTTTTTGGGTTGTTGCATTTTTTTTCTTTTCCCCTTTCTTCCTGTTTTTTTTTAAAGGGCAGCCTTGAGGTATCATCATTGAGCTGACCGGCTCAAGGTAATTCACAATTATTTTATTTTGTCCATCTGATTAAGAGTCTGGATTTGAATTCGGGTCTGTATTTCAACAGTTCATGCCAACTTCATGGGTGTACCGTTGCTTCTATTGCCTTTTTTTCTAGCAGTTTCTGAACCTTACTTCCTTCAGTTTTCCCACTGTTCTGCGCCTCTCATTTCTCCTGCCTTTCTCCTCGTAGTTATATAGCAGGCGTTTCTTTCCATCTTTTCACGTGCTTTAAACCACCAGTATCCAGATTTTTTTTTATTTTTATTTTTTCAAAAGGGTTGCGGGGTGTCGGTGATATGACCCAGGGAGGAGGTCCGGCTGGGGGCTTCATGCGCCAGGTTCATCCCATCTGTCGGCACAGCAGACCCACCCACTCACTCAGGGATCAGTCAAGGCCAGGACTCTCAGAGGAAGGGGAGAAGAGAGACCTTGCTACTCACACCTGGGAGTATCAGCCTGGATTGGAGCTACCGGGCTGCTGCGTATGCATCCCCTTTGAATTCAGGGTCCTGCATCCCCGAGGCACACGGCCGGGAGGCCTAAGGACCACAGTCACCAGGTCCTTTGGGGATGAGAGTCACTCCTGCTAGGAAGGGGGTGAACCCTTCACTCCTTCTGTACTCATCCCCACTGAGCCTGCCCCTCCCGGAACTGTCTCCCCCCATGGCCTCCAGCAACCCCAAGGGGAGGCGCGTGCCGCTCCGGAGGCCCCAGAAGTGCACAGGGGCACGTATCTGCTGGGCACCCTCTCAGGTGGACCCCAGGTCAGGTCTGTGCAGGATCCTTCTGTACATCCGTGCCCCCTGGCTGCGTGCACGCTCAGTGTGTGAGTGGTAGTGCATCAACCTAACGCCGTGCCGGCGGCCTGTGCAAGAGGCTGCGGGGATTTTGAGCCCGCAACTTCAAACCACGATGTGCATTTCCAACCGGTGCCCTAACCACTGGGCCATTCACCAATCACCCAGATGTTGTGTTCCGACGGGAAAGTTTAACCCACCACAAAATGGCAAGTTGGGCTTACCGGACAGAAGAGACGGAATTTCGTGAATGTGCTGATCCATCACGTCAGAAATCTGCATTGGAAAAAAAGAGGCACAGACAGACTGGCGGCTTAGGAGGGGATTTCTTATTGTGCTGCATTTTAACAGTTCCTCTCATACTTCAAAAAAAAAACGTCCCTCCCAGACATGATGGAGTTGTGGAAAGGGGAGGTGTGTCTAACCTGTACGATTGCATTGATGGACTGTTCTGTGTAATAACAGCCTATTCTTCAGATAATGTACATTGTACAATATTTGCCAGCGCTGGGGCATTATCTGTTATGTAAGGTAATTACCAATGACATTGACCATTTTGTGGATTCTGCATGCATGAAAAAAAAAAAAGAAAAAGAGAAAAAAAGGAAAAAAAAGCTTTCCAACTTCCCCGAGCTTCTAAACATGAAGAGTTGAGCTGGACGCTTGAAAACTTAGAACAGGGGTGACCCAATATAGGAAGTAATATGGGATTTGGGGATCGGTAGTGAAGCTAAGAAATGGCATAAGATAATAATGAACATGCCCAGTGGGACACCAACTCGTCCGATGTCCTAGTATTTGCTCCTGGTGTTGGTCCAAGTTTCGCTCTGGATTTGGTACCTGCTTTGTTCCAGATTTTGATCCAAGTGTTGTGGTAGGCTTTTGGTCTTAAGTTTTGCTCCAGGTTTTGCTGCTGCTTTTGGGCCAAATTCTGGGTCAGGATCTTTTGCTCCAGGCTTTGCTGCTGCTTTTGGTCCAAGTTTTGGGTCAGGATCTTTTGCTCC